ATAACATAACATAACATAACATAACAACATAACATAACATAACATAACATAACATAACATAACAACATAACATAACATAACATAACAACATAACATAACATAACATAACATAACATAACATAACAACATAGCATAACATAACATAACATAACATAACATAACATAACATAACATAACATAACATAACATAACATAACATAACATAACATAACATAAGCAACAAAAACATAAGCCAAAGTGGGTTCCTGCTGTGCATGGAACAGGGCATTAGACATTAGGGGTGGCATACACAGAGGCAACTGACACTGCTGGAGGAAAGTAAGAGCTGAGGTTGGTCAATAAGGAGTAGGGGAGGGAGGGAGGAGAGGACCAATGCATCCTAATTCACTTTGGGCATGATGTCTTGCTTCTCTCTTGTCTTCTGCCTTCAGTACCACCCGAGGTGTACGTGTCCCGCCGAGATTTTCCCAATGGCACTATCAGCTTCTCCTGCACAGCCACAGGTTTCTACCCACCATCCATCCTGCTGCACTGGAAGAAGGGTACTGATGGTGCTATATGGGGAAAAGAGAGCTCCAGCGGCACCCTGCCTAATTCTGATGACACCTTCTATCTCCGAATCTCCCTGGAGATACTGCCAGGAGACACAGGGACAGGTTATGCTTGTGTGGTAGATCACAGTCAGCTGGAGACACCAGCTGAGTACCCTGGTGAGTGTCTCAGCCAAGCTACTTGGGCCTGTCCCCTGAAGGCCAAGTCATGGGATTCTATTAATTCCTGCCCACATCTATCCCTGCCTGGTAAAGGATCCAAGGACAAAATTCCCACTGGACATTCTCCCCATTGCACCATGGAGAAATTGAATTCCCTCAATCCTATTAATTTGCTGACTCTTCTCCTCCTGTAGTTCCTGAGAAGCCCCCCCAATGGAATTTGTGGCCTGTTGCCCTGAGCATCGTTCTAGCAGCCATCCTGGTGATTAGCTGTTTTGTGGTCTTCACCAAATGGAAGAGGAGAAAGTCAGGTGTGTATTGTCAGGTGAGAGGGAAAGGGATGGGAAGAGGAGAACACAGAGGAATAAAGCTATATGTTATTCTGGGGTTGATGTTAATAATTGTGTACTTTGTGAAAAGAATCCCAGAAACACAGAACCTCAGAGTAGGAAGGCACCTCAAACGCCACCTAATCCAAACCTTGTTAGAACATATTTTTTCTGTTCAACATTACTAAGAAATGACCATATATCCTTGGATTGAAGACTTCAAGTGATGGTAAAGTCACAATCTTAAATATTTTTTATTGATATATTTGTTGGAAAGGAAGCATGGCTTAGTGGTTGGAGAAGGCCTGGGGTCAAGTCCGACTTCTGACACAAGCTGGTTGTTTGTTCCTGGGCAGATCACTTAACCTATCCATACCCTAGGCAACTCTCTAGTACTCCAAGTTTCAGAGAAGATGCTAACGTAATAGTCCAGCTGTGGTCTTTCCAGGACAGAGTTGGACAGGGCCATTGCTGCCCTCATTCAGCATGTTGTACCTTTGTAACTACATACTAAGATTCCTTTAGCTTTCTGGCTGCCATATCACATTGTTGACTCTTAAGGAGTTTAATCTCCGCTAAAACCATCAGTTTGTTTTTACACAAACTCTTGTCTAGTTATGGTCCCCAACCCCACTATAGGACTTCACATTTGTCTTTTTAAAATTTAATTTACTGTTTAGTCCATTGTTCTTTCCTGTTACCCAATTTATGGATCCAAACTTTTCTTTCTTGTCTGTTAATTATCCTGCCTAGTTTTCTTTCATCTTTCATATTTGAGAAAGATTCTATGACTTCATGCAAGTCATTGATTGAAATACTGAGCAGAAAAGCGTTATGGGTAGTTCCCCATGCCATACCACTGCAGACATGCTCCACCGAATGTTGTCTCTGATCCACTGATCATCAGACTTTGGGTCCAGGTTTTCTACCAGTTCTAAACTTAGCCTATCAAAAAGCCATAGCTCTATGTCTTGCCTTGAAAGAGACCATGGAGGTCTTTGTGAAATGTGTTGTGGAATCTAGGTCTATGACATTTCCCTAATTGACAATGATCCTGTCATTAAATTGAAATGAAGTTCATCTGGAATGACCTATTTCCTTGAAGTCATGCTGGTATCTCATTGGTCTCCTGCAATGCCTCCGGTTATCTTAGGATCTGAAAAGGATATTCCTCTGGACCAGGTGATGTGTATTAAGTCAGGACAGCTACACCCTCTGATTCCTATCTTAGGTTTCATCTCTCTATTATTCATGTTTGTTCTCATTAAAAGTTATTATTTATAGAAAAAAGACAAGTAAGTTAACAGTTGAGCAACAAAGTCTCCTCTCTGTTATTAGTTAACATCCCATGTCCCCACTCCCCTTGGCCCTATGGATTTCTTCTTCCTTGTCCCCCCTCCCCTTCCCACTATATCCTTAAAAACACCACCCTTATTGTCATACTTGGAATAGATCACCAGTTTCAAATTTTTTGGACTTACATGTTCCTGTCTTTTAAAAAAATATGCTTTTTTTGGATAAATTTTGCTCTTCAACCACATACATTTTCCCATCGAATCTGACCCCACTCTGAGTTTATTTATTATATTCATTATTTATTAATATAATTATTTATTAATATAATTAATTATTATGTTCATTATTTATTGTCTTCAATAATAAATGATGAGAAAAAACAGTCAAGCAAAACTAGATCAAATATGTACAAAATATATAAAAAGACTTATCATATGGAGTGTTTCTCCTAAAGAGATCCCCCAGTTCTAGAAAGCAAGGAGTAACTTCTCATATCTCTTCTTTGCTTTCAAAGACATTCTTTATTATTTTGCAGCCTCCATTTTCAATAGTTTTATTTCTGTTCTTTTCATTTACATTTTATAGGAGTTTTGCATATGGGTTTGCTGCTACTGCTTACTTCACATTGTATTAGCTCATATTTTCCTATGTTTTTCTGTATATATCATATTAATTTTTCTTACAGCACAATTCCGTAATATTTATATACCACAGCTTGTCCAGCCATTCCCCTAAAGATCAACATCTGCTTTGTTTCCAGTTCTTTGATACTCCACAAAATTTTACAATAAAATATTCTATGTCTCTGTGAGGTTTTTTTTAAATAAATAATAATAGCTAACATTCATATGGTACCAAAAATGTTCTAGACACTGTACTGAGTGGTTTATAGTTTTTTTTTCATTTTATCCTCACAGCAATCCTGAGGGGTAAGTGCATTATTACCCCTGCTTAATGGATGAGAAAACTGAGGCAAGTAGAGGCTAAGTGACTTGCACAGGGTCACAAAGTTACTAAACTCTAAGGCCATATTTGAGTTCAGGTCTTCCTGATTTCAGGCCCAGTACACAGTTCACTATGGTGCCCACCTAGCCGCCCTTTCTGTCATTCTTTGTGGTATATGTCTACCAGTGGAATCTCTGGGGCAAGGGTTATGGACATTTTACTCACTGTCTTCCCATAATTCCAAATTCCTTTGAAGAATGTTTGGAATAATTTGGAGCTTCACCAGCCATATATAAGTGTGTCCTTCTTTCCACTACTTCTCCAAATGCAAATATCCTTTTGTTAACTTTTGTAATTTGGTGAAGGGGAGGTGAAGCCTCAGAGTTGTTTTGATTTATATTTCTCTATTAGTGATTTGGAACATTCTATTACATAGTTGTTAATAGATGGTTTCTTCTTTTGAGAACTGCTTGTTCATATCCTTTGACCACACAGCTTTTGGGGAATGGCTTTTGTATATTTCTGTGTATCTTAAATATCTGACCCTTGTAGGAAACATTTGGTCAAAAATATTTTCCAGTCAAACAGTTCCCTTTATCAGCTATTTGAATTTATTATCTTCACAATTTCTGTTTTATGTAATTGGAAAATATCTATTTTATCTTATATAGTCTTTTTTTCTGCCCCCATTCTCTTATGAATCCAGCCCCTATACATAGTTTTGAAAGGAACCCAATTTAATTATCTTCTAATTATTTATGGTATGATCTTTAATATTCAGGTCACATATCTATTTTATGTTTATTGTGATATATAATGTAAAATGTTGGTCTAAACTTAATTTCTTCCAGACTTCCTCCTAGTTTTCCAGTCACCTGTCTCTATTCTTATATGCTGTGTTTTTGTATTGATCCTTTATTCCTTGCCTCGTTCCCAACTTCTGTGCATACTTTAAAAAAAATCCAAGTTGGTGAATTTTCTGAGAATCCACATTTGTCTATTTAAATAACTTTCCTTTTTCCTTCTCATCAGAATTGTTCCTCTTTGTGATCTCAAAAATTCACTCTTGAGAACTGCACAACCCATCTAAGTAGTCTTCCTTTTGCAGAATTTTGGTCTTTGTGATTCAAATCATCGTTCCTCATCATATTTTGCAATCTTCACTCCCCAAACCTAGGGTGCATGTCCCACTGTGCTTAATTCTTGTCTTCTTATCCTAAACTCTAAGATGGTGTGACCACTGTGAACAAATTCTGACCATTTCCACACAGCAGCCAATTAGTCCCTTTTAATAATATTCACAGTAGAATATCCATGTATTGGTTCCTTCCCTACTTGAAGTCATTATTAAGGACAGTCAAGAAATTATTAGTTGCTCTTCTTTTGGCAGAATGTGCCAGGTAATTTAAACTCCTCATTACTTCTTTATGCCTTTGTTTTTTTAGCTTATAATATGGTTCCTGAACTTTTCTTTCCGTCCAAGTAGTCCAGGGTATACTCTGGTGACAAAAATCACTTTGTTTTCTCCCTCAGTTGTGACTCAGGTGTTCTGTAACATGTTTACCCTTTCTGGTTCCTGCATTTACTTTGATAAACACATCTTCTTAATATACAAGGCTACCCTACACATCTCTCATTTCCTCCTACATACTTTAACTAGATTATTTAAAAAAAATTAGATATGCCCTTGTGGTGGCATATTCAAGGCATGGATCTCATCTCTGTAACTCTCAGAGATAAAGTCAAAATTTCATTCTTGCCTTAGGATATCTAATTCCTCTTGCTTATCTACCTTATTTTGCACATTTCTTCCTTGGGCAAGAAACTGGAGCAAATGGTGGCACAGGTGGTACATTCATCACTGCTGGTAACAAAGACAAGGGATAAAGAAAAGTAAAGAAGCTTTTGGAAGGAGTTATCTAGTTAAGAAGATGGCATCTGGAAATACTGGAATTTCTAGACTATGCATGAAACATAAGAGCGACACGCTTGTTGCAGGAACTTTCAGGGTTCCTGCTATCCACTACATGAATAAGCCAACACAGCATACAGACAAACTGGTACTTTTCAGTTTATTTTTCCATTCAAGAGTGTGAATATTTGATTCAAGAGTGTCATTATATAATGGACATTCCACAGATGACACACACATTATATGTATGTACAGTCACATATACATATACAATACACACGTATTTGTGTAGATGTACACACATATGTGCATGTATCTATGTACACCCATGCCTATCCACATATACATATATATTTATATACATACATACACTCATGCACACACTCTTCTTCTGAGCTATATGACCCAGAGATTTTGGGTAAGATCAGATAGATAGGAAAAGGTACATTTAAAAGACACAAGTTATTACAAAAGAAAAAATGTGTTTTTAAATAGAATTACTTACACTGGACCAATGGATATTGTACCTTCTTCATCAGCTAGCTAATTAACATTTATTAAGTCTCTACTGTATGCTTTACTGGATACTGTGAAGGGAATGAAATAACTTCCCGGTAATATTAAAAGTCCAATGGGTTCTTTTTAATTATAAATTGATTAGAGGATGGAGGTTCCAAAAGAGATGTTCAGGTGCAGGATGTGCCAAAGAAACACAAAGGGTGGAGGTATGGGGAAAGAAATATGATAACAAATATAGGACAAAATGGAGTCAGGTATCTGTTTCAATAAATCCCTTTTTGACAAACTTCTGGCCAGGGATAGAGTGTGCCTAGACAATGAGGAGGTGCAGCAAATAGAACACTTGGCCTGGAATTAGGAAGACTTAAATTCAAATCTATCCACAGATGGTTACTATCTGAGTAACCCAGGGAATGTCACTTAGCCTCTATTTGCCTCAGTTTCCTCAAATGCAAAATGGGAATAAAAGAGCACTTATCCTGTGGGGTTGTTGTGAGGACCAATTGAGATAATATTTGTAAAGTGCTTAGTACTGCGCTTGGCATGGAGTAGGCACTATATAAGTGCTCATTCCTTTCTTCCCACTTAACTACTCCCAGCCTCAGTTTCCTCAACTGTAAAGTGAGGAAAATAATACTTACTTCCAAATAATCCTCTTTCCCTTCTCCACTTGACCAAGGATGGCAAAAGAGTTTATACACCTAGAGTTGTGTAAATGTCATGAAAGAATCTTAAATTGAAAAGAAAGTGGAGAGAACAGGCTGACTCTGGATAGCTATGAAGGCAGATTCCTTTAAAATGTACAAGGAAAAGGAGGAGGATGAGGAATAAGAGGAGGAGGTGAAAGCATTATAGGCTGCAGCAAATAGCTCATCTGAAAAAGATTGGTGGATTTTGGTGGATTGGAAAGCTCAGACAAGTGCAACATGGCACCAAAAATTCAAATGAGACATTCAGTTGCAATAAAAGAGACATGGAGACTTGGCCACCAGAGGAGACAACATGATGATGAAGGAGGTTTTTCCCAGGGTGAGGCTCAACCATTGCAAGGTTGCTGTGCTGACCCTTCCTAGTTCCTCACAGGTTGGAAACCTTGCATGCAGAATTTGTGATAATGGTGTTTGCATTTACCCTTTCCCTGTGTGTTTGAGAAAAAATAAAATAAAAATCAGTCAGAGGGGAATGGTTTCCCAGAATAAGAAGTTACTCATCCTACTCTATTGTGGCCTCCATTAGGAGGCCCAGCTGGACTCTTCTATTCAGTTCTGGGAACATTGCAGGAGGGACAAAGGGTCTGAAGGATTTACAGTAGGAGGAGGTTGAAGGAACCTTGAATGTTTAACCTGAAGGACCCATACCATGAGTGGGTGAGTCAAGGAGATGGCAGGAAAATGATAGATGTCTTCAAGAGTTGCTGTGTGGAAAAGGGAGGAGGAAGGAATGGGAATATGCATTTATTAAACACATACTATGCTCCTGGCATTGTGTTAAGCCACTTTACAAATATTATCTCAACTGATCTTCATCACAACCCTATGAGGGTGAAGTAGGCACTATTATGATCCCCATTAGATAGTTGAGGAAAATGAGGCAGCCAGAGGTTAAATGACTTGCCTAAGGTCACATAGCTAATAAGTATCTGAGGCTGGCTTTGAACTTAGGTCTTTCTGATTTCTAGCTCAATGCTTTATTCACTGAGTCACCAGGTGCATCAAGAAGAAAAAGAGGAAACAGACTGCTCCTGTAGAACTAGGAACAATGGGGAGAGGCTTCAAAGAGATAAATTTAGGCATGATATAAGGCAAAATTTCCTGAGAACTAGAGTTATCTTCAGTGCTAAGGGCAGCGTTGGAAGGCAGGGAGTTGGTTCCTTTTCTTGAGAAGTCTTCAAGCATAGGCTGGCTGGCCAGTTATGGAGGGGACCCTCGTTCATGCATGAATCAGGACCAGATGACTGCTGAGGGCCCTTCACACTCTGGACCACTCATGGGTTTTGAGAATAGGTTACAGAGGGCAGTCATGCTGAAGGGGTATGAACTGAGATGGTCCAGACACAAGGCTGTGAGCACAACAGAGTCCTTGGGAAATTTACCAGAAAGTGTCTTTGTAACTAATTTCTGAACCTCAATTTCATTCCCTTCCTTTACCTCTTTCACTACGGCAGGAAGGAAGAAATGGACATGGGGATCATGGAGTGAGCTTAACCTAGGAATCTGTTTCACAGGGGGAACTTCACAAGCTCAACTAGAAGGACCTTTTCCTTCTTCTGTTACTTCCATTATTCATCTTCAGTGAAGGAATTCAGCAACCCAGAAGCCTGATGCCAAGGCAGTTGCCCTCTTCCTTGGCAGCCACTACATATTTGTTAGAGGGATAATTTGTTGCACACCTAACCATAATCCTAATCCTATCTGTAACTGACCTCTCTATGTAGGAGACAAGTCTGGGATGGGACATCCAATGAACTTCCAATAAGTATGAGAAACACAATGTACAGTCCATCTCAACTTCCTTTGGTAATGGGAAAAATGAGACCCAGGTCACAAGTAGTTGAGTTTAAGTGACAGACAATGTCCCCTTATGAATTCAGATGTGAAACCATTTAGAGAATTTGAGTTTGATATGGATATTGGTTTATCATTTATGATTTCTTTAAGGATAATGCTATTTCCTTGTCTAGCTTTGCTTATGCTGCGCAATTTTATTTTTGCTTTGTCTGATAGCATGATATATTTTTTGGTTTCACCTGATGCATAGTATGTTTTTTGCAACCTTTCATGTCTTTCTTTCATAGATATGTTTCTTGAAAGCACGAGATCGTGGAATTTTTTTTTTGATAAAATCTGTCAATCTCTGATTTGAAAAGTCCTCTGTTTCCACAAGAACAGATTAAATCTAAAGAACTGTCATGAAATGTGAGACCAAGTGTCGTAGATAAATAATCCCACCCCCTTCATCAGGTTTCCCAGCCAGAGAGAGTTCATGCCTGGGCTACAGGTGGGAAAAATAGTGAGAGACAAGGTCCTCAGAGAGTGGTCACTTGACTAAGAGAGTGGAGAATGTGACCTCCTTGGGGTGCATTAATTGGATAATGCTGCATTTTTAATGTTTCCTGGATTACACCTCTAAAATTTTTAGATATCATTTTAATAAGTAATATACTAAACTCTTTGCAGGGAGAATAGGATGAGATTTAATTAAACTTAATTTTAAATGTTTTACTAACACCAATTCTATGCAGAGCACTCTGAATTACTGGAGAAGATGCAACATTTACCAAAGATTTAGTACCTACCATCTTGAATTAATCAATTAACAGACATCATTATACACTTATATCCTAAATACTGGGCAAATTTGGGGAGGATGGGAGAGGGGGAGGAGAAAAGAAGGGAGGGAAGAAAGGAAAGATGGAAGGGAGTGAGGGAAGAAGAAAGAAAGGAAGGAAAGTAAGGAGGAAGGAAGGAGCAAAAGAACAAGAGAAGAAGGGGAGAGAGGAAGGAATGAGGGAAAGAAGGAAGGAAGGGAAGAAGAAAAAAAGAAAAGAAAGAAGGAAGACAGGGATTAAGGAAGAAGGGAAGGAAGGAAAGAATGAAGAGATTGAAGTAGGGTAGGAAGGAAGAAAGGAAAGAAGGTAAAGAAATGAAAGGAAGGGAGGAACAAAGCAATGAAGGAAGGAAGGGAAAGAAAGGAGGAAGGAAGCAAAGAAAGAAAGAATGAGTCCTGTCCTCAATCATCTCCCCTGGGGGGTTATCATATACATTGGCTCTGTGAGGCTGACCGCTCTGGCACTCTGGAGCTTTCCCTTCCTTATTGATTTCCAGGCCTGGAGGGCTATGTTGAATATGAAGAGGTATATATCCTGAGTGGAGAGCACACTGGCTCGGGAGTCAGAGGATCTGCATCGAAATCTCACCTTTGACACACGATACCTGTGGGACCTGGGGCAAGTCATTTAATGTCCCTCCACCTCAGGTTCCTCTCTTATGAAATGAGAAGTTTGGACTAGAGGGCCTTTGCGGTCCCATCCAGCCTTCCATCAAGGATCCTCTTCTTGTCCCCTCAGTAGTCCATGTAGAGAAGCTGGGAGAAGGTCCTCCCTCTGTTCAGCAAGTTGCGTAGAGCACAGAAAGCCTCTCCTCTGGACCTCCAAGAGTTCTCCCTTTGTTTCTTCTGGGAGAGGATTTCCCGTCCCCAATGTCATTAGTGGCCCTTGCACATGGCAGTGCAAACATGTGCTTGCCGTGTCCATGAGCCTGAACATGGACATCAAGTTGCTGGCTGCCTCTTCTGTGTTGTGTGGCTGTCCCTGAGCACAGGCTACCCAACAGTGAAGCTCAAACAAGGACATCGCCCGCTTTGGCACCTCCTTGTGAGTCTCAGCATTTCCAGGTTGGCTGCTAGTTGCTTGGCAGGAGATGATTTTGACAGCAGCTTCTCAGAGCACAAAGGTTGGCATCATGCCAACCCTCTGCCACACAAGTACTGAGCCTATTTTTCATCCTCACTATGACCAATCCCTCTACCTCTAAGTTCTTTGTCAGGCCTCCCCTTCTACCCTGGCTTCACTCTGTTCCCTTCCCCATCTTGACCATTTGGCGAACCAGTCCAGCTCTATGATGCCCTTTCCTGTTATGGCCCTTGCCCCCTTGCCCTACCATTGCTCATGCCCTGCTAAGTATCAGTCTTAGATCACTCCCATCTTCCATTGTCTTCACTCTTACTCACATGATATTGAACAAAGCTGGAGATAATCATGAAATTGCTGTCTGGGTCCACGATAAATATCAATTACGCAATCTCAACTGAACCATCACTACAGCAAGGCAATCCTTTGACACCATTCCAGTTTCACCACTTCTAATTTGGAATGTGGATTAGTTATTGGCGTTATATTAATGTAAAGAGTACAAGGCATTTAGGTTGGTTTACAGCTCTAACTTAATACATGCTGACATAGCATGGAAAACATCTATTGCACCCACTAGATTGATGTTATATGTTAAAACACTTTAAACTCTTTGTCACATAGTGCAGCTAACAACTCTTCATTTGTATTGTACACAATATTTTACTCATAATATGTTTCGAAAGAACACCGAAGGTTAAAATTAACATTCGAAAAAGTAATATGATGATGTGATATGTTGCATGGGAAATGAATACATGAACGTTTACAGAGAAGGAATGGAGGCTTTCTTAGCAAAGCAGTAGCACTCTTTAAGATCAGTGAGGAGACTTAGTGACAGCTAGCATTACTATGATGCTTTAAGATTTGAGAAGCCCTTTATAAACACTATCAAGGTGAGACAGCAGAACCAAGAGACCATATGCACAGTAACACTGCGACTGAGACATGAAGAAATCAGTGGAGGTCTTGGAGAGGAAAAAATGAAGTATACTCTTTGCTCAAGGAAGAGAGATTAGGGACCATGAGGAGAGATGGTTATTTCGCAAGATTTTCATGTTAGATGATTTTTAAAATCACATTTGTTTGCCAGGAGAGAAGGTTCAAACTGGAGAGTGTTTTGTACATAGTTGTTTGCATGTTGTCTTCCCCATTGTCAGTTCTTTGGGAAGGTCCCTGATTGTACAAGCATTTATTAAACACCTACTATGTTCCAGGCACTCTGCTAAACTCTGGGGGTACAAAAAGAGTCTCTGCTTTCCAGGAGCTCCTAGTCTAATGAGGGAGACAACAAGCAAATACGTATGTAGAAACAATATACATATGTGTATGAGCACACATGTCTCCAATTTCCTGTATGTATATGTATTTATACACATCCACACAGATACAGGAAATTGGAGATAATCAACAAAGAGAAGGCACTAAGATTAAGACAGGGAGTGTTTTTATATCCCCAGCACTTAACATAGAGTAGGCACTTAATAACTGTTTGGCTTGACTTGCTTTCACTTAGGAGATGACTGTTGTGAAGACAAACAGGCATCAATCCAATATGCTGAAATGTGTAGGGTCCATTGGACTTCAAGGTCAAAGAGTCCAAAGTGAGGTAGGGAAGAAAAACCAAAGGCATGTGGGATGCAGTCTCCTATCTGAAGAGGGAGCAAAATAAGGGAGTATGAGGTAGAAGAGTGTGAGATTGAAGAATGGAAAGAGCCCTCGGGGCAAGCTCATTCCAATTTTTTCACACTGGCACATTACCAGTCCCACAAAAATGTGAAGTGAAATCCAGGCAGAATTTCTTAGAAAAGAAGAACAATTCTGGGTTTTCTCTATTTGTCAATGGCTACCGCATAGTAAGCACTCAATAAATGCTTGTGGATTTCACTTGATGTGACTTGGACAGAGACGTTGACATGAAAGCAATGACAATGGTGACTTGGGAGCTAGTTTTATGTATGGCCCTGTGAATAATATGGTTCTAAGCAGGGAAGATTAAATGTCCAACGCTGTGCCTGATTCCTCCCCCTGTGGTATATACTAGATAGAGAGCTGGTTTGGGGACTAGGAAGACCTCAGTGCTTTGTGACACACTGCCTGTGTTTCCCTGGGCAAGTCACTGGTAATGTAGCAGTCAATTCCAAAGCTTCAAAACAAATACTTTCCTTTTTTTTTTTTTTGGTCTTTTGGTTGGGCAATGGGGGTTAAGTGACTTGCCCATGGTCACCCAGCTAGTAAAGTATTATGTGTCTGAGGCCGGATTTGAACTCAGGTCCTCCTGACTCCAGGTTCGGTCCTCTATCCACTGCACCACTTAGATGCTCCACGAATGCTTTCCTTTTTATATGTATCTCTGAACCATAGTATAATATATGGCACATATTCATGACTTAATAAAAGCTTAATGATTGATTTGTGATATATTCAAGGTCAGGCCTTTCTTTCCAGATGTTCCCCTTAGCTCTGCACTGGAAACACAGTAAATGGTTGATAAATAAGAAACTAGTCATATGGTTATAGCCTTCAGAGAGGATGGTTCACACACTGAAGGATTGAAAGCCTCACGTAAGTGGTGCCAATTTTGCTCAGAGATCTCCACCCACACGCAAAATTCCATTGCCTCAAACCACAATTCTATTTCTATTTAAGATAGGGTTAGTATGTTCTGCATGATGGAGACTGGAAGGGTGGGAGAGAAGGAGGGTGAGAGAGGGAAAGAGTTCAGAGGAAAAGCCCTCATGTTATAGTTATCCCTTAATGCCCAAAGAATTTAATTCTTTCACACTCCAGTTACTTTTCCTTACTTCCTAAGTTAATAACTAGGTTTGTAAACTCTTCTTTTCCAATCTTAAACTCAGCTTTTGTGGTCCCTGATACCCTGATACACAACCCACACTAGAGAGGCTTCCCAGGAGTTGGGGATTTTTTCATAAAGTAGGCTGCCAGGAATGAACTAAATTTTGGCCACCATTGGGGAAGTGAGCATAGCCATACATCAAAGAGGTGGCTGTGGGAGGAAAACCAGGTCACAGGCTGTGGGGGAATTGGTGCAAAGTGGAATGCCATAAGGAAATCCATGGAAGACCCTAACTTTGTCCTGTAGTCACTTGCTAGGCACTTCACCATTATTCCCCACACTTTGGGTATTTTGGAGTCTCAATATGGTTAGGTTATATCACCAGGCTATAAGACAAATTTTGTCATCAGGAATTTGTATTAATTGAACCCACTAATAATAACAATAATAATAATAATAATAATAATAATAATAGTTAGAATTTATGTAGTGCTTTAAGATTCAGAAAATCTTTATCTCTATGTCATTTCACCCTCACAACAACCTTGGGAGGTGGGTGGTATGACTATCTCTATTTTGTGGATGAGGAAACTGAGTCTGAGAGAGGTTAAGTCATTAGCCTTGGATCACAGGGTTAGCAAGTATCTGAGGAAGGAATAAAACTTTAGTCCCCCACACTCCAAGGCCATTATTGTGTTCAGTCATGTCTGACCCTTCATGACCCAAAGCTGAGGGGTCAGACATTGTAGAGAGAATGGCCATTACCGAGCAAGCTTCCTCTAGTCAGTATCATGCCGACATCCATGTGTTTGCTATTTGCCCTGGACACAGTAGGTGTTGAACATTATTTTAACTGAATAGAATTGAATGTGAGCACAGTTAACATGCCACTTTCCTCCCTGAAGACTCATGGATGCTACTTGACTCTTATTTCTGAAGCATCAATGCTTAGAAGGCTGACAAAGTCACTTGTGAGAGTAAGTTGTTGGTTGGGGACAGACATCTAGAAGTATCTATGATTATAAAATAAGGATCTCCACAAGTCCAGGGACAGTGTCTTCCCCACTGGCATGTAAACCCAAGAGTCCTAAAGATAGCAGTGCCTGTCCTGCGCCTCTCAGAGCACCAGCCCTGTTTCCAGTCTGGTAGCCTCCATTAAAGGGAGAAAGGGGAGTAGGCTTGTCGGAGAGAAGAGACTCACTATTCCCTCTCCCACCCCACCTGGTGCCCACCAACTGGGCAGAAGGGGTAAGCCAGCCAGCCTAGCTGAAACAAGGAAATTTCCACAGCTGTCCTGTTTTCTGGGCTTTCCTTTGAAGTTGCTTCTTTTGTCTCCACTCCTTCCTCCTTTTCAACTTCCTTTTCTGTGTTGTTTGTCCCTATTAGAAAGTAAGCTCCCTGGGGCCAGAGTGTCTCTTTCTATTTCTGATTGTAATTTCAGGGCTTAAAAGCACATTGCTTGACATGTAGTAAACACTCAGTAAATACTTGCTGACTGGCTGACTTAAGCCTATGGAGAAAAATATTTCAATGACTCTTTGGGGGTGGAGTTGGAGAGCATACAAATATTGCTATTTCTTATGCCCAGTCTTTCCCATATATAAAAAATATAAAAACACTCTTGTTAAGAAATAAGTGTAGTCAAGCAAACAAGAATGGATAGAGGGGCTGTATCTGACGACGTATTTTTCTTTCTATGGCTTGTGTCCATTGCCTGTCTGGAGGTTATTTTCTTTCGTCTCTATCATTTGCCCTCTGTCGTTAGGTAAAGTCCTTGAGAGGAGGGATGGTCTTATTTTGTGTCCTTGAATTTTTGAAGGAGAGTGCAGTGTCTTGGCTATTATTGGTACCTAATAAATGATTATTGGGCTGGGTTTGAGCTGCTGGCATGAAGTCCAGGGAGAGACAATGGAAGGCAATTGTAAAGAAGGGGAGTAGAGACACAAGGAAAAATTTCTGGAGTCACTGAATTGTGATGATTGATGCACAGAGATGAGCCCCACACCACCTTATCCAAGGCCAGAGGAGACTCAGGCTCCATCACAGGGTGAGGCAGGATGGGACATGCTTTGAGAGAAGAAGCCAGACTCACAGTGAGCTGGCAAGCATGATACAATTGTAAAAATGAACCCAGGGAGCTGAGAAGTAGCTTTCAAAAAAACATTTGTCAGTGATGTCATGATCTACAACTGTTGATGCTTTCAGTCTGAAGACTTCCTGAAGGCAGCAAGTGTTTGGCCCATCAGACTGGAGGCTCCATGAAGGCAGATCTTTTGCCTCTCTTCTCAGACCAAAGGACCGCAGAGGGCAGGCATTATGTTTCCCTCTCTCCCACTTGACTGGGGACTGATCCCATGAAGGTAGATCTCTGTGATCAGAAATAATAATATAGCTTACACAACATTTAAGGTTTGCAAAGCACTTTACAAGTGTTAACTCATTTTAATAACAGCCCTGGGAGGCAGTTGCAATTATTATCCACATTTTAAAAATAAGGAAACAGAGACAGAGAGGTAAGGGAATTGCTATAGATTGTTCAAGGCAGGTTTGAGCTCAGGTCTTCCAGACTCCAGGCCCAGTATTCTTTTCTGTACCATCTAACATGTCTTTAATTCAACTAACA